TTGAGTCACTTTATCGATTACTTTTAATATATGTAAATAGTTATCTTAATCATATTGAACAATATATTCGAAATTCCATCGTTTTACGCTATTTTACATAAAATGACATTTGAGATATTTTTTGATTATTTATATACTATTCGTCATTTATGCAAATATAAGTTCTAATCATAACTTAAAACTTTGCCCATATGGGTGAACATGACTAAAATCTATTTTTTTTTTCTATTAATTTTTGTCCGGTATCCCCATGCATTCAACGCAATGTGCGTCATCGGGGAAATGGCTCTATCAGTGGTCTATGGATCGAAAGATTAGACTCATCGATAAAAATCTACTGTTCTTCAATTTTTCGTTGAGCAATGCGTCGCTGGACAATATAAATCGATATTTTTGGTTGCTAATGAAACACTGTCAAAAAATGATTTCTTCCGAAATTTATGTATGGGCCCAATATTTTATTTATTTATTTATTTTATTTGTCGTCAATCAGTGTAGACCGTTTTACAATTGTTGTGAGCTATTTTTACAATTTTGTCTTTGTTTATATATTTTTATAATATGTCTTGAGAACAAGTTAAAACATTACTTCTAGCTGACGTTATGCGAGGAATTAAAATATTGCTTGAATTTGGTTTTTGTCATTGTAAAGTCAATGTTATCGCAGTGCTTATTAAATGTATCCATCATTTGGTTCAAGGGTCCAAATTTGGCATAATTCGTACGATGCCGATTTGTAGCAAATATATTTCTATTTCGTAAATGCCTAGATGGTGTATATAAATTTAAGGATCACAATAGTTCTATAGAGTCAATGCGATGTGATACGATATCGTTTACGAAAGAAATCGTAGCAAATTCACGACGCTCTTTTAATGTTTGGATATTTATGAGCATACACCGAGCTGTGTAAGATGGCAGAGGAAATACAATCCTACCTAACTTGCGGAGTGCATACAATAGAAACTGCTTTTGAACGGACTCTATTCTTTCTTCGTGTGTGATTGAAAAAGAAGACCAAACTATGCTGTAATATTCTAATATCGACCTTACATAAGCAATGTACAATATTTTTATCGTATACGGATCGTGAAAGTTGTAGCAGAAACGTTTTATGAAACCAAGCATGTTGTTAGCTCTATTAATAATTGTGTTATAATGATCGGTGAAAGTAAGGGACACTTTGCCTGACACAGGGTTGCTTCCACTCACTTGCTATAAAAACATATTTTTCGAAATTATGCAATCATTAGATGATATAATGATATGCTGTACTTGTAAGTAACGAGAAGAGGGTTTAAAGTATGTGTTTGACTCTTAAAAACTGCCAATTTTGCTTTCAGAGCGTCACAATAAGCGATCTTATAATTCGTGAGTGTTCACTCAGAGTGAGCACTCACGAGTCGTAAAATTGCTGATTGTGACGCACTGAAAGCAATATTGACAGATTTTATGTGTCAAACACATACTTCACGTCCTCTTGTAACTTACAAGTACTAATTATCACTAAACCATCAAACATACACAGTTCGAAACCGCCCGTATGCAACCGCCCATATTCGTAAGCAACATTTCTTGCAAGATTCTAGTTTATGTGAATAGGATGTTTGAATACATGAAAATGTTCATGCATGGATGTTTACACCACCAGTTAAAATCAGTTTTTTGTGTAGCTTTGGGTCCAAAAAAGTTAAATAAACTTACCTACACAAGTGATTGTGAATAGATTTTATTTTGCGTTCTTAACCGAAACTTATCTGTTGCCGTTAGCAAAAATATTCATGACAATAAAGTGCACATGAAGATTTAAGTCATCTCTACTAATTTTCAACCAGTAAATGACTATGCACGAGTGAGGATTTTTTTTTTAAATTAGGTCGACTGCAGTGGTTACAGTTCAGTTAGTTTATAGTAATTAGCATATGACCATGGTGATAAACCCAAAAGATTCTTCCTCTGAATAAACTCAGTCAGATTACGCAGAGTAACTCTCGGAACTTCCAATCCGAACTTCGTGTAGCATGTCATCTCCTGCATCGTTCCAACGAAAAATCCAAAGTGAAACCAAGAAACTGTGCATTCTAAAAATAATACCCACATTCGAAACCTTGCCCAGCAGAGCAGCATCCTACATAGCTATACGTACAACATTGGTCCACTTGTAATCCCAGCAGCTCAGCGGATGAGTCAACTTCGGAATCAGCATAAATGATGGAACATACAGTGATGGGTGAATATTTTAGAATGCATCTGGCTTTGCTTCTGTAATTTTACTCCCCTTTGAATTTATATTTCAGCATGGCTTTATGACTGACCTATTAAGTCTCAAACTTGTGCACTTCACTGTAGGTCTATATATTTTTTGCAGCAAACATGCTTTGAATGACAGAATGTGTTGCTGCTGATATGATGCTTAACCTTGTGTACTTCATCCTTACTCCGGGATGGTAGACGCTAGGGAAAGTGTATTCATATACAGCGAACAGTGATAGTTCACCGGCCAACGATGATATGGTAGTTTCAGAGCATTTCAAATATACAACGGAACTTGTTAGCAAACAAATGTTGCTGCTTTTAGATTGCAGTTGCTTACCGGAATGGAGAGCAAAGGACTGTAGTTTACCTAGATTTTGTTTTAAATTTTCGTTTAACGTCGTGAGTGGAATTTGATTGCGGAGACTTCCTTTAAATTTAATATAAATAATTTTCAGGGTGAGAATAGGGTGTGTGTGAAAAATGCTAATTCTATCATAATTCCGTCATGTATGAACAGATTTTGTATCTATCCATAAAAAAATCCGAAAACTCCTCATGTTTTGATGAGCTTAAAAGGATTTAAAAAACATTTTATTCTGATAATATTTTGAATTAAGATGGAGTAGTTTTTTTTTATGTTGGGGGTATGAGAGTTAATTTTTATATGAAAAAACATATTTCTTTAGATTGTGCTATCAATAATTCTACCAGAACATATGGGAGAACGAAGCAACAAAAATTCGTCACTTATTCAGCACATTAGATGCACATTGCATTACTCACAGAGCAGAAAGCTATAGCCATACATTGTTTTGTTGCCAGGAATGAAGTTTCAAGTTGAATAAAATTAATGAAATCGATCCTTTTCACACTAATATATAAACTACCTGTTGTCTGCTCAATAAAATTTTCGCTGTAGAGCTTAGATCTAATTTTGGGTCTACTAAGGACAACCCGCCCTTTGCCTTTATTTTTCGGGTGGATTTTTTTTTTCATAAAAAGGTTTTCACTGTAGATGACTTCTAAATTTATTTACCTTTCCGTACCTTATTTAAGATTTGCTTAAGAGAAACAAATTGTTGAGATATTATTTAAAATCTAACACTGCTTCTTGATCCTAAACTCGGCCTATGGATTCTAAATTAGGCCTAATGCATTGAAACGCCATTCAAACGTCAGTGCATTCACTTCGGCCTATCGGATAAAAGATAAAAATGATTCGGTCGGAGCGTTTCTTTTGTTTTTGAGAAGAAAAAAAATGGGTTTAACCATTCATATTCATTTCTTATTGACTTCGTTCGGTAGCTATTGAACTAAAGTATTGTGCCAGATGCATAATTGACTTGCTAACTCTGAAACAATGGATTTATTTGATGTTTTCTGCTCGATAGGCTCAAAATGGGCGATTAGGCCGAAGTAGTTCTCTACCCAAATAATACTGCACTTTTCAGTCATGTAACAATAGATGCATTAAATTGCTTGTGCCGCTGGGAGTGCACAAAATCAATGAAAAGACCAAAACATTTTTCAAACTTTGTCACCGGCGGTGCACCTATAATTCGATGTTTGACAACTACTTCCATCTGTAGACAATTCTATTCATCTGTGCCGATTTTCCCACAAAACGTTCGTTGAATGTGATTTATATTTGATTTTCGTTTACTCATATTCGCAAGAACGTAGTTCACTCATAGACTGAGTAAATTTTTCCTCAAATATGAGTAAATGCCGCTTAAACATGAGTCAATGTCACTCAAATGTGAGGGACATTTACTCATATTTCTAGATAGAGCTGGCATTAGGGCGTAACAGCTTTTGTAAACAATGACTTCTCTCGATGATTTCCGGAAAGTCAAGGTTCGCCAAGGAAACCAACATAACCATCGAAAAGGGGAAGTCTTCCCTACCCGCCGGTGATGTTGATTTGCACATGCACATGGGCGCATGGGCGAACCTTGACTTTCCGGAAATCATCGAGAGAAGTCATTGTTTACAAAAGCTGGTACGCCCTGATTCCAGCTCTATCTAGATTTATTCCAATTTTTTCTCTATTCATTAGTATGCTTCTAGACTGAGCAAACTTTTCGTCGATTTTTCTCATATTCGAGCAGATTTTTGAGGAAATACGAGGAAAATGTTTCTCACTCCACTCAGTCTATTGAGTGAAAAACTACTCAACTTTGAGACGATCTCATCGACCATGTAAACTAAACTATACCAAACTTGTGGTGATGCAATATTTTTTTTTATTGCAATTTGCAGCAGCTCCAAGAGTTCCACCCAATCTAGCGGTATTGGGCGGTACCATTCTTCTTATTTTTATGTGAAAATGTTTTAATAAAGTTTATTAAAAGTGTGATGCCACCAAGTGTTGCGACACCAGCAGCCGGAGTAGCTATTACGAGCTCGAGATTGTGTCGTCAGATAGTACTTCCAGGATAGTTTTTTTTTGCTGCAGTGCTTCGTACAAAGTTTGCTACGAAGGGACATCCTTAACGGAATTAGTTTGAAAGCCGCAGGGAGAAGGCTATAAACTTACAGGATGATTTTTTTTTTATCCGCGAAGTAGATAAAATTGTCAGCCATCGTTAATGGTGCTTTTAATATTATAGCGTTGATTGCGTTATAAAGTTGTGGTATGATTTAACCCCGATTACTGGAGGGTGAATTCATTTCCCTCGCTAAGAGCTTGGATGCATTTCAATGCAATCTCTCTAAAAAGTTTTTCCTCTTTCTTCTTTTAGGTTTTGCTCAATGCCAGAAGGTTCCAAGTTTGCAGATTATGCCTGCGGCATCCATTCAGCGCAAACCTGTGGGAGCTTCGCTGCTATTGACCTGCCAACCGGACGTTCCAGATAGCACATTGATTTCCGATCTGCGGTGGAGTGACAGTCGAAACATAACAATACCGCCCAAAGCGTAAGTATCTTTCCTGAGCCGAATTTTCCACTGTGCGCCTTATGCAGCCATTATTCCGTGCCATGTCAGAGGGTAATTGTGTGTGAAATAAAACGATAGCACGGGAAATTGTTTGAAAACAGAGCAATAGTGCGAGTGGATCTCACATAATTTCTTCGCGTCTGCTATTGAATTTTCCCGCAAGCAAAAGTTCATGTCATATTATTAACTCTTTCACGACGTAGATATTCTGAAGAAAGAAAACTTTGCCTTGCGCTTGCTATGTGGGTGCCTATGGGATTTCAAAAATAAGTGACACATTTTTGTATCGCACATACTATAGTATTCGACCCAAAAAGTTGCCCAAAACTGAAAATCGAAGATTTTTTGTTGAAATTGATTGAATGTTTACTAATAATATGTTGAATGTCAAAAAATTAGCAAAATATAATTCATGTTAAAATGCCATCGATGCATGATAAATCATGTCAGTTTTTATCGAGTGAGGAAATAAATTGCATTGTGTTATTAAATATATTTATATGCCACAAATTGTTTTATTTACTTGACAAAGAGAATGCAAATGCAAGCCCAAGTAACAATTTTGATTTTATGAAGGTTCTGTAGACCATGATTTAGATTTCTAGAATGCTATGAAACCTCTATAAAACTGGAAATGTTACTTGGGAGATGCAGTTGCACAAATCTTGAGGAAAAGTGAGTAGCCAAATGTGGTCATTTCTTGTGGATAATGTCATGACGCCAAATCAATTTTAAATCGGGCTCGAAATACATGCAATAGAATATGTTGTTTCCAAACATTTCTATAAAAAGTCGGGTTAAAACTACGTGTAAAGCTATTCTGTTCAGCATTCGCTTTTGCATACAGCAAATATTTTTTTTTAATATTATATCCAAGAGGATGCACTTCAACCATGTCGAAAATCTCATGTATTTTTTATGGCCACAAAAATAATCAATTTCAAAACAGCGTAATGTTAGCAAGTAATATTACACCATATTTTCGACACGATTGAAGTGCATCCAATTTGATGTGATATTAAAATTATTTTTTTGCTGTGTATATGGAAGTCAGTAAAGAAGGACTTATATTATACTTCACCCGTTCTGCTGGCAATAACTCGATTGGATTACATTTGGAAAACACAATCAGCAGGGTAACTCATTTGCTAATAAGCTACGCGATGCTGTACTGAATCGATTTTCAGGCAGGCCAAACATTGAGCTTAGTGTCTGCAATCAGGGGATCAAGAAGCTCCGATCTTCCGATGCTTACCGACGATAAAAACACTTGTAAACGGAATCATGATGGTTATCATTTGTATTACACATCATGATCAGCAACAAAAACGATAATCCACTGATATGATAACAATCACTATGTAATGTACCTTGAAATCTAGGAACTTGCTGTGTTCTGAAAAGTTGTTCTGGAGGTGAAATGCCCTACAATATGGATAATTTTGAAACAAGGATGACGTGTATGATCCGAAAAAGGATGTCCACCGCCATTTTGTAATCCAAGATGGCGGCCATTGGTTTCAGAAAAAAAAACTATGAAATAGCCTGAAATACGGATATTTTTGGAACCAGGATGACGTGTAGATGTCGAAAATCTATGTCCGCTGTTATTTTAGAATCCAAGGTGCCAATTAATGTTAGACAAATAAACTAATCAAAATTGTGGCGGACATCAAATTTCGACATCACACCAAATTTTGAAATCCTGTTCCAGTCAAATGAATTGCTGAATCGCGTCCAGCAAAACTAAGTTTATCTGAAAAATCAGTAATATGAAATTTTTTGCTGACGTTCCCCGTGAAAAAGCGAGTGATAGATTCTATCCTAATTTTCACGTTTCATACGATTTTGATGTTTGTTGTAACGTTTCCAACAAACATCAAAATCGTATGAAACGTGAAAATTAGGCCAAAATCTATCATTCACTCCTTCACGGTTTTTTTTTATTATTTCTATGTTCAAGAAGTTCGTCTATCAAAATATCATGGAAATTATATAAAAATGATGTTTACCATAAAGTAAGTATACTAAACTACTTAATCAACCTGAATTAAGTTGAAATGATTTATTTTTTCTCTGAAATTTACAGTTTTCTTCATTTGTAACGTCACCTAGGAGTCTCCTTAAGAAAGGAACAACAATAGCTCACCCAGGATGGCCGATCATAGATTCTTCAAAATATGTTTTTTTATGATATTTTTTTTAGAAATGCAAGTGCAAATTTAACAAATTACTATTTCCAACAATATGGAAAAGTAACAAAATATTTATTCCAAAAATGAGATGCCTATTTCTTGAAAAAAAAACAACAACCGAGATTTACTAATCTTTCATCAAAATTAGTCATCTTCCGTTTTGCTGGATAATCAGCAAAGTGCTGTCAATTTGGCATTGGATTGCATAGATTGCTGAACATTCAGCTAAGAAAAATCCAGCTAAATATTGTTGGTTTTCAGCGATACAAAATTAGTGTGTACCATCGGTGCTTGGCACTATTGGATTTGCACTTGTATAGCGATAACTACAATAACAATTTCTCTGTACATTCGGGACAAAATGCACTCCTAAGTTCGGGGCAAAATGATCCTTAATTAATTGAAAGTTCCACTATTTATACCCTTCAGAGTGTTGGAACACCCTCCAAAGGCGCGCCGCTTTGTCAGTCAAAATTTGATTCCTTAGCAACAAAAATAAGCAATGACACCGATAATGATCATGCATTAGAACCCTAGTCTTAACCACTTAAAACTATGGAACAACGAATTGAAGATTTTAAATCTGAATCCCGAATCCGCGGATTGTAAAAAACTTATTCTGCTGCCCCGTAACGTGGGTAGATCACCTTTTCGTGGTACGTTACGGGATGTAACGGGGAACAGGATTTTTCAGTAATCCAAGGAATACATCTTAGTCCTTGTTACTTTTTATGCCTTGTTGATAGCGACAAGACTCGGCTTTGCCCACCGAGGATGATCTTGAAACAAGGAAACAATGAGTTAGTTAGTCTTCATCTATGTGATTCCTAATCTTCTATTCGTTGATTTCTAGTTTGAAGTGGTTAAGACTAGGGTTCTGATGCATGGTCATTATCGGTGTCATTCCTTAATTTTGTTGCTAAGGAATCCAATTTGGACTGACAAAGGGGTGCGTCTTTGGAGGGTGTTTCAACAGTCCGAAGGGTATAAATAGCGGAACTTTTCAATTAGAGTCGGATCCTTGCGATAAATGCTAGAATGACAACTGTAAAAAATCGAATACTTTATCATTTCTTAATAGTGATGGAGTAATACGACATGCACTAAACTAAGGACACGGGATATATTACTATATATCAAATTACTGGTCGCAGTGGTTTTAGGTCTCGAACAGAGGAAAAAAACTTATTCTGCTATCAAATATCATAACAATAGCAAATTATGGTACTCTACACACCAAATTTAAATCACTGGAAATCAGCAAAATTTTGCTGATTTTGGACTTGACGAAAGATCAGCAAACCTTCCAGCAAAATAATGTTGCTGAAACTTCCAGCAATCCGAACTTCTGTCAAAATGACAACGTTTTACTGAATTTTCAGTAAATCTGTTATTGCTGAAGCTGCAGCACAAATGTTAATGACAGCGTTTTACTGATTTTCCAGCAAATTTTTACGAAATATTACTGAAACAACAGTAAATTTATTTATATCCGTTTCTACTGATTCTTCAGCAAGTTTCAGCTTCATAGTTCGGAACTAGCTGTCAAATTAATGTATTTTTTTTTAAATCACAAGCACACAAAAAACACGTTTTAAAGTACGATGCAGCAAATCATAATTTTATCTTTGGCAATTAGTAAATTTCAGAGTACTTTTTTTTATCCACGGGACCCGTGGGGCAATTTTACATATGCAAGAAAATCAACTTTCCTGCTATCCTCCAATTATATGCTTGCAAAAAAGAACACTGGAGCGCCTGCAAAAACATAATTTTATAGCTATAAATCAACTTACAATACAATTCTCGGCATCCCAGTTGTCTATCGCTTAAATTTTCATTGCTGGCTCCATGTATACACGAAACTTTATAATATCTCACAGTAAAAAAACAAATACGTACCGTGCCTGGAAGCACGGCAACGAAAAAACGTCAATGAAAAATTAAATTTGAAGTAGGCAAGTTTTTCCCGACTGTCATTTAAGTAGACAGGAAGTTCGGTTTACTGATTATCAGCAAATACTCTGACATTCGTCTGTTTGCTGGATGTCGGCAATGCCAAAAATGCTAATTCTGAATTCCAGTAAAATATTATTATGCTGAACCTATTTCAGCAAACTGTTTTGCTGAAACTCAAAATTTAAATTTGGTGTGTATAGCTGTTAACCCCCCCACATTCAGCATGAATCCAACATATCTTTGATTTTGACGTTTTGGTACCTATGGGATGTGATGTTTGGGTTCAGAGGAGTTTCAATGGAAAACATAACAGGTTGCTTCAATATTCTATCAACATGAAGGTATCGAAATGCGGCTTAGTAATATCTCCTTGTCATTAACGAACAGTCTGTGAAAGATTTCTCGATTACGTTTTTGCTAATACCATTTTGAGTCTACTCCGTAGCTGATCAGAAACTAGTAAAATTTCACAGAGAACCACATAGATGGAGCCTGGCATTGAATTTTCATCTTCAATATATAAGTTCACTTATTCATTCTATGTAAAGATCAGTACCGATGTCGACCACGGCAAAAATGGTATGACATTTCTAAACTGATTTTGCCGGCTACGCTACATTTTTGCACTCAACAGTAAACGAGCCTTTGCGGCGCTGGTGAACGTTTCTTCTTGTGTGCTTTTACAAGTGGTCAATCAAAACTGTAGGTACCTGTACACTTGCAGTCGTGCACACGCTGAAAAATTTCACATCGGATGATGGTTATGAAAAATTATCAACATTTACCAGCACTGACTGGTAGAAGGTCTTAGAGCCGCCGTCTGCCGCTGCAACTTACCGCTTTTTGCGGACACGTTCTTCATCCGTATTCACTGTCCGGCATGCTGCCGTCACCGTTAGGTTTCGTTCGTTTATTAATTTTTTATTTATTTTTTCTCCGTTGTTTTTTATGTGGACCAGTCCCCCCTCCAGACCGCAATCTCAACTTGTTGTATTAGTCGCCTATTGTTATTCCATTTTATTTTCTATGCGAGCAAGGGGCAGCGATGCCACAAATACAGATATTTTGATACTATAGCAATGTTATTAGCTTTAAAAAAATAGTTAATTTTTGGAACTACATATTTTTTTTTGCTAACAAACTTAGTATAGTACCTTACCTTATCAAAATAAACAAGGGGGTCCTAACTTTTTTCGTTTACAATCATCTCTATTTGCGGCATCAGTGGAAAGTAGTGGTGCTATTTGTGAAATATTCAAAATTCATCTAATATATTTATGTTTTGCTTATTTAGCCATTAAATCAAAATTTGAGAGGTCTCAAACAGCCTCAATCGTACATGATGCCCTGTTATCTCGATTTGCTTTAGCATGTAATAATCACAATACCATTCCGAAATTCCCGTCGGCCTAATTTGATTCCTATTATTTCGTTGTTTAGGACTAAATATTACTACCCACAGTACGATTCAAAAGGTCGAAAACTCCCAGCGAAGTAAGTGTGCATATTTATGAGTTTGATTGCTGTTGTTCTTCATCATCTCCTTTCATCCGTCTCTAAACTACACACATACATAGCCCCCAGCACGGTGGCAGCTTGAGGTTTTCGAATAAATGTAGCTGACGCTGATGTTTTAAGTTTAGAGTTTCCTCCCGCTGGAGTTTGTTCATGTGGAGTACAGTTTTCCATTCATTATGAACAAACCCTTATACAGGAATCCCCCGAATAGCGCGGTGGGTGGTTCATTCCAGTCACCACTGTTTCTCGAAGGTCCGCCAACCGATTGAGCTGATTTTTTGTAGGTGTCTAGTATATGATTGACACTATCGACAAACAAAAAAATCAGCACAATTGGTTGTAGGACAGCCGATAAATAGCGGTGGGTGGACTGTACTACCCACGGCGCTATTCGGGAGATTCCTGTATTCCCATCAATAACCATAATTCTGGCCAATTGCGTTAGTTTTTGTGTGAGCGATTTTCAATTTGTGTAGATATACTAACCATTGTGAGATAATTGTAATTCATATTCATTTAATCGAAATTGCTGTAATAGTCCAATTGTATCTCTTATACGAACACCTACCGCCAAAAGTTATATTAAATCTGAGCAAGTCATTTCACTATTAATTTGTTATACTTAATTGTTCATTGAATTTAGACATCCATCGTTTAACTGATGCTATGAAGATTTAACAACGAAGCACAACGCATACATATCAATCAGGTCTTTAAGTGTTTCACCTCAAAATGCATTAGTTCCGATGAAAATATGCGGTGTCGTGTGTGGTCATTAGAGCACTTTCGATCCAGAACATCAATCAAACTCTAATTATGTGCAAGCACGAACACTTGCTATCAATCTCTGTTTCTAACCTCTTCCTCTAATCGTCAGAATCGGTAGCAGTTCTGAACTGACCGTATGTGGGCACTTTTACGGCACTCGCTACAGTTCGTATAGGATGTCATCAGTAGACACTCTAGTATCTCTGTTCTTCCTGCTTCTCCAGCTAATCCTCACACTGCAAACAATCTAAATAACACATTCAATCACGTATCCGGTATCAGCACCACGTCGCAAAGGCACAACTTCTAATGAGCTGGCAAATTTCGGACGATCGATTTGTTTGTACTATCAGGAAACAAGGCCACTCTCATATGCCATAGAGTAGTTCTAGTAGTTTATATGCTTATAGCAGCTCTGATCGAAGACGCAACATTCACAAACGGTCGTTGGGAGCCATTTATCGACATACCCTGTACAATGTTCCCATTACATGTGTGTGCTCTTATCTCGATGCTGATGAGGATGTTCCTAATCATTGAGAACCGTTTGAGCCGGTCATCTTCAGGACTACCCATAACAGAAGCATTCTTAATCTAATTAAGAGTCTTTCTGCGTCCCCTCTTCAAATTCAGCGCAATACGAAACAGCCCATCATTTAATGAATACTGACAGTGCACTATCCTCTTCCACTCAACCATGTACAGAAACATAATCCCGAAACTTAACTGCCAAAACTTTTGTCAAACTTTTCCACTTCTATTGCATTATTATACACGTCGACTCTGAATCGTTCTTTCTCTCGCATTTCGTTCACAGGACGGGCCAATCTTCGCCACCGATATACACCGAGTCCATCTCAGGAGGGCAAGCATTGGCGCTGCTGTTCAACTCGCTGCAAGAGTCCATGGCCGGCACTTACTACTGTGCAGCATCCTACTCCGTCACTGAGCAACTGGCAGCATCCGTTCTGGTCGAGACTTACGGTAAGTTTGTTAACAAAGTTTTAGTCTATAAAACTGACTGCTACATGGAATTCATGCATATGCAATTTCGTAATGTAATAATGCCAGCGATTGCAATCGTAAGGACGGGTCGATCGTTGATGAGTAATTGAATCAAATTTAATTTATTAAAAATTGATACTAATTGTTTTGGTGTACTAACCAGTCTTATGGCATCATATGCATATTCAGGTAAAAAATGTGAACGACATCCTAAAGAAATTAGTCAGTAACTTAGTCAGTTTATTCCCGGAAATTATTGTTAAACAAGCTACAATTAAATAAAAATTATTATTCCCCTTACAGTTTTACCTGCTTTACTATCAGTCCCCAGAGAGCCAATAAATTCAAATTTGTGAGAGAAAATTAGCTCTCACGAGCTCAATCTCTCAACATGCCATGTTTTTTTATGACACTCGATTTGTGATCTCCCTTTCACAGATTACAAAATAGAGTACCGGACACTACAAAACATGACTGGTACCTCTATACATGCATTTATATTAACATTCGAAGTTCTTCCTTTTTTACACATTCTGCAAAAACGATAATTTGTGCCCCACCCCATTCATACAATTCGGCAGGAAGTCCTGTGAGGGATGAGTTATTTTGAGTGCAGAATGTTAATCTAAATGCATATATAGAGGTACCAGACATGTTTTGCACTGCACTGTCCTCTGTGAACAATTATCGCAAAACAGATTATATGTAGTTTCTGATAGATACCACCGCCAACAACAGTAGTGACATCTGATGGAAAATTAATGCAGAAGCTTGACAAAATGATTAATTGAGTTCGTTACCGGTGGTATTAAATGGTCAAAAGGAGGAAGTAAGGCGAAGAGAAAGGGGATGAGGAATATTCAAATAGGTCACGGCTTAGAGGTGTTCCGTGTCGGGCGCAGAGGTAATTGCAAGAACGATAACTGGATTTAGGAAGTACTCGGCGAGTAATTCGGATCTTGCGGGAGAGAGAGAGAGAGGGATGTCGAGTGGTTGTTGATTGGAAGCGGCATATGAGAAGCCGTGGAGCATTGTTTCTACTGATAGGTTGCCGACCGGTGAATTGTTTGGGTAAGGATTTACGAGGAGTGACCCTTCACATTCAGGCAGGGTTGACGTGATCGGGGCCGTGGGCTGGAGACGGAGGAAGGAAGATACGATAATGTTAGCCAGATTCCCCAGGGTTTTCCATTCAGAGTGCAAGGAGTTCAAATTGACTGACTTGGCCCACGGGATGGATACGAAACGTTTATTAAAAAGATCCTCCCAACTAAAACTAATTTCCTTCATAAGGTAGCATGAACAGAATCTTAAATTTCTTCAATTCATAAATGAAAAGTCGATCGAAAGCTAAGCGCTGTGCTACATACAATATTGACATATATTTACATATTTGAAGACTAGTATTCATTATTTTTATAGCAACCTTGTCGGTAAAAAATGAAATAAAATGATATAACAAAATTATATCATGATTATATCAACTTCTGTTATACATATACAGGCTATAAGGAAAGAGAGAGAGGGGTGCTATGTTGGGGGAGCAGATGATTTTTTAAATATTTTTACAACAATCTAAAAATAGAAAACACTCAAAAAATATGTTACTCAAAAACCGTGTTAAAAGTCCAGTTTATACCCTTTTTAGTTTTTACCCTAATGGGTTATTATGTAACAAGATGTGTTAAAAATATGATATAACCCTAACAATAGTTGTTATATTCTTGATAGTACGTAGAAGATTTCTTGTTATGTTTTTTGTTATTTTAACTACAAACGGTACATGTTTTATAACAGACCATGTTACGAATAATTTTATATCTCAGTAACATAGTGTGTATTATTTCTGATACTTCGTTCTGGTCGGGAATGATTAACCCCGTGAATACGCGTCATTCTTATATTTGAAGTCAGGCAGCTGCTGTTTCTCAGCATCGCATGCTTCCTCTCCACTGTTCTTCTCGGCATCCGGGTACGTCACATTCATCTCCACCACCTCTTCTTCCAGCACCTCCACCGCTTCCTATGTGTCTATTGTTTGACGATGCAGCTCCCACCAGCGTCGTACTGGTACTGCTCTCTACTTCATTCCGTTGTTGACTTTCCTCTTCCTATTGTTGTTTTACTGGCTGCTTCCGTTCCTTTCACCCTTGTCAGTAATTTATCCAATGTCCCTTCTATGTGTTCCCGCACAAAAGCGAACCATAACTTGACATTACCGAAAACCCTAATAAAAAATAACCAGAGACGAACGATAACCCAAATCATTGAACTATTCCACAAATGGTTTGGATGATACCCAGAACACGTCGTTAAGCAAATTAACCATACAATTTTTATTAGGGAATGGTTAAAAATGGTTTATAATCCCTGCTAAACTTTACCTGAAATGGTCATGGAACTTTACATGAACGCTTGTGTGATAAAGTTTTAACCTTATGTATTATGGTTCTTTGGAAGTGAACCTTACAAATAATGGGTTGTTAAGAACCATTACCATTCAAAATAGTTGTTTTCTTCATACATTTTCGGAGAGAGGACTATATTAAAACCTTTTTACTTATGGTTTGAGAACTTTAATGGTAATGGTTATGGTAGCCAGTAAGGTCCATTAATGGTTTAGTATTATCGGTCAACCTTACGTGGCATATATCGCGAATTGGTAATCAGTAATTTACAGGCAACCAATTCGCGATATATTCCACATAAAGTTGATGGATGTCACAAAACCAGCTATGAACCTTACCGACTACCATAACTATTATCATTAAAGTTCTCAAATCATAAATAAAATAGTTCCAATATAATTCCTTTCCCAAAAATGTATGAAAAAACAAGAATTTGAAATGGTAATGGTTCTTAACAACCCATTATTTGTAAGGTTCACTTCCAAAAAACCATAATACATAAGGTTAAAACTTTATCACACAAACGTTCATGTGAAGGGAGCAGGGATTATAAACAATTTTTAACCATTTTTGGTAAGGTGAAGTAATGGTTTGCATTTATGCGGGTTCCGATTGAGGTGGCGACTTGGGAATTTCCTTGTTTACGTCCATATATACACCCCGTACACATGTGTACATGTAGAGACCAAATCCACAGGGAATTTTTCCCAGATGACTCGCTTCACATCACCGTATTTACTCAGCACCAACGTTTTATCACAATCCGGGACATAGTATCTCAACCATTGATTTTAGAGCTATAGTTTGCTCGGAGAAGATTCTACATGTGTAAAAGCGCTGGTTTTGGTGTAGTTGTTTACGATATAAATACATATTTTTGCTGAACATTGCAACGTGCTATCTCGTTAAATAAAAAAAGTAGGAGGGTGGTGTACAAGACACAACCGCATTGTTGATGTAGGACTACGAAATTTTTGTTCGATTTTCTAGTTTGTTGTTTTGGATATTATTTTGGAATTAAGTGAATTTCATAGCTCAACTCTTTTGTAGAAAGTTGTGGTGGCCCTGAACTGTGATGGTTTCTTTATGGAAAGCTTTGCTATAATCACTGGACCTCGTGTTTATTCGCGTTTATATATATCTCTTGCGCAGGAAATCAGTTTGGCACGGCATTTGTGACCAGCATACCTTCCGGTCGCATGAAACAGGTTAAAATTTGCCCAAATCTGCCAATAAATTTGTTTTGCATTTGCTTATAGCAAAATAGTGAACTTTTCGTGAACATTAACGCCAAAGAACTCACCAACACACTTTTTATTACATGCCTCATGCATGCGATTTGGTGTACAGCACACTTCTTCCGATATTTTGATCACCTTATAGAAAAGGCGATGGCAGTTGAATATCGGGAATTGGAATTCAAATTATTCTAAAAAATATATTTATATATTTGTATACTGGTTCAAATTACAGCTGGGAAGATAAAACTTTCATTTTGCAAATTGAAGCTGCTGTAATGTTTTATCGAATAATTTACCACTTCAATGAGGACTGTCGTCTGGCTCGACGTGGTGGTGTCAAGCATATCTCCGGTCTGATCTACGAGGAAACCCGAGGTGTGTTAAAGGTGTTCCTAGAAATTATGATCCGTGATGCCGTCACCTGTACTGAACACGCCAAGCGTAAAACCGTCACGGCGGCCATGGATGTCGTCTACGCTCTGAAGCGACAGGGACGCATTCTGTACGGTTTCGGAGGTTAAAACTTATCATCAACGTAACATTGGTGGCCCTGAAAGTTAGAAGTCATTTCAGAAAGAGTTAGAATAGAATTTATATAGAGTATCCCCTGCTTCCAAGTTTGGTTACAGGATCACAACTCTGGAGAGCAGCGGTGCCGGTGGTGTAGTCGTAACCGTAATTACCTCTCACTCAGGTAAGCGTAATTACCTGGGTTCAATCTCAGTCGGCGCCGCCGGGATGTTCTGAGGCATAACATCGCGATGCATCGGTTGGTCCCCGGTTCATGAGTTGATGGGTCGATAGGTAGGGTCCAGGTGTGGGTAGTATTGATGCTTAGCACGGAAAACAAGATCGACGGTAAACAAATCCAAGGAAAAAAACGGAGCGCATTTTGTGTGGTAGTTGGGGGCGTGTGGTTTTGAATTGGCAGCTAAATGTTCCGCAATTGCATCTTCCCTATTCGTACACGCCCAAAGATCGAAGGCGAATGTCACTTCGACTTGTTTCATCTAGGAACCATTCTCTGATGACTGTGTTGTAGAAGCAGCATATGCATGTACGTAATTGGTGGATTTGTTAGTTATTTTGAAGCGTTTGGACAATGCCTGAAATTCACCACTTTTTCAATAGTTTCAATTTGAAAATTAACAGTCAAAAGCATTGTTATCGATGCGTAGAAATGTTTCGGATCGACTGGTGATTAAATTTTTGAAATTGGTCCAGGGCAGCTAAGTTATTAACGTCTCATGATTTCATTTTTCGGTTTTCATAAAGTGTACCCCCATCTTCCCGAAAGACGTAGTCCTACGTCAAAAATATATTCCAAAATTAGACATTTGTAGGAGTTAGCTAGTTATTAAAATAACACATGTAAAGTCTCATATTGACAAAGTTTACATAATTGTAATTTCAGAATCCTGAATTTGTGGGGAAAATACCTTTAAATAATCGATTATTTAAGAATACCTTTTTTATTTCTAGAGATCGCTAGTTACTATGTTCTGCAAAAACATGTATTTTTACTTGCAAAACAGTTTGTAGAAGGTTCAAAAATGGTAGGCAATGAAATGTTGAAAACGTTAAACTAAATATTATGATTCTAAGGGGACGTTCACAAACCACGGTAGAGACAGTATATTTAATTTTTTATATTGATGATAGATGGGTTAATCGCCATACCTTCTACACCAAAAGGGGGGGACTCATAGCCTTGTCAGTAAAGTCACGGTGATATCAAGCCGCAGGCGGCAGGTTTGATTCCCGGTCCAGTCGAGGGAATCTTTCGGGTTGGAAATATTCTCAAATTCCCTGAGCATAGAGTATCATTGTGCTTGCCACACAATATACAAATTCATGCATTGGTATTGACATCGAAAGCTCTCAATTAATAACTGTGAAAGAGTATTAGAACACTAAGTTGAGAGCACGCTATAAGCTTATATGCGCTAAGCAATAAGCTTTAAATGCGAATAAGAAAAAGAAGTCTACACCAAAAGAAACGCTTCGGAATTAAAAGGAAATAAATCAACACACTCAAAAAGTTCTTCATGTTCTGAATGTTTTTTTTTTACTAACACCGGACACGAGTTCTCCTGGAGCTTCTTTCCTAGTTTCCGCAGAAGTTCTTGTCCCAGAAGTGTCCCTAAAATTTCTTACGAGGTTTCCTGGATGTTTATCTCTCGAAAGAGTCGGTCAGCATCCTCTGGAAGTTTCTTTCAACATTTTCCGGGAGTTTTTTTTTGTTGATTTCTCTAGATGTTCTTTCCAACCTCTCCAAATATTTTTTATCAGGTTCCACTGGAAATTTTTCTTACTTTATTTATAGTTCTAAACATAGTATATTTCCTGGGAATGGAAGCTAGTGAAACTGTATGCGTATTTAGCATGCCCATTTTTTAGCTTTTTCCCAGGAAACCGAATTCCTAGAATTGGGAAACGTGATTTTGGTAAAATTAGCGAAAATTGAATGTCAGGATGTGAAAGAGACGATCCAGTCCATGGCTTAATGTCCCTAACAAAATTGTAAAAGTGTATTTCAACAATATTACATTATTTCTCAGCATGGAATCCGCTTGTATACTTCTCATCTCCGGAGAATCCAGTAACAAATCAAATTTAACAAATTGTTAACTTTATCGATAGCTTAGAGATTTCAAATGTTTGAAACTCAAACACTGTTTAAAATTATTGAAATCTCTAATTTCAGATAGCTAGGTAGGATTTCAATTGTTTTCTAAAGTCCAGGGGTTTAAAAATATTCTTGCCTCATGGACAATCATACAATTAACAATAATCTTTAATATCGTTTACAAAATAATATCTTATAACTTTTTATCACTAGCATATTTACCCGGGTAGAGAAAAATAGCAAATCTAAAGCAAAATAATTTCAAATTTTAGTATCAATATATTATTAGGTTATAAAGTTGTGTGCTTTAAAAAGTTAAATAGTTATGATATTTTTTTTAATATGAATTCTAGAGTTAATTTTGATCTGGTAGCAGCACAAGCTATGTATATGGCAATACATTGGTTAATTTAAACAACATATAAATAGCTTGATGATATATAATCGCAAAATGAGATATTAATTTGCTTTGATTTTTGTTATTCTTAAGATTTGGAAACAACTGACTTAAATATGACTCAGTTATGCTCCCATATATTTTTTTTTATATTATTATTGATATTTTACTGCTTATATCAATCATACTAATAGCAACTTTTGATGTTCTGTTCCCCAATTTTAATAGTAAAACTTGCTATTGATTTGATATCCTTCTCTACTCGGGTAGGCTGCATAGGTTTTTTTTTTTGTGTGACAGTGTTTCAATAGTTCAAATGGAACCATAACCAGAAAACCTTACTAAAACTTTGAAATATAAAGCCAGATCAAATCATCTTCTATCCTCAACGTAACTTCTGACGGTCCCAATCATGCAACATCCGATATGATATTTAGGACATGTCATAGCCAAACCAAAACCAATTACACATTATCTCAACGAGCAGCCGCTAGCAAAAATTCCACATGCGTCCAAAACTTTGCATAGCTGAATTCTAATAGCTGCGGCATGTCAGTAAAACTATTTAACAATCCAGCAATTTTAATAAATTTCCACACGTTCGCATCCTCCCCTGCCCCCGCCAGTTTTTCTATAACAAATCTCTCCACCAGCAAGGAACGTGAAACCACGCACGCTGGCGGATGGAATGTATGATCCCGGGAAAATCATCCCACATTTCAACCAAAAATTTACCAGGAAAACTTTAATTTCCATGGATATGGATACTTGCATTCACGATATGAGAACGTTTGGCATGCTACACTATGTTTTATGGCAAATATTATGCCCAGCAGTCTCGTCTCTTGCTGGCCACGTTATCCATCGCGCTCATGATGCTGTGTGCATATCGAACAGCGCATGAATACGGTTAAGGGCATTGGGTACATTCTGCTGGCGCTATGAAGGATGCAATTGTCATGCCATACGCAGCCGGTCCAGTGTATGTATGCTCGGGTTGTGTAATAAACGATAATCGGTGGTTGCTTCCTTTGTTCATTCCTTTGTTCTAAATCGCAGTGTCTGAGCTCAGCCCAAGAACACCGGTACGGATTTGAAAATTGAGCGCATAGAATTACCATAGCAGTGAAGTGTAGAGTCCTATAGTGTTGCTGACCGCAGTTATTTTACTGTTTCTCTGTCCTTGCAGTTGCCATCACGTGGAAGGATGCTCCCGAGGATCAACGGCCAATCCTGGGTGATGACTATATCGTTCGTTGTGAGGTGTACGCCAATCCGCCGGCCACTGTGGACTGGCTTCGAGATGGCGATCCGGTAAGTCGTGCAATAACCACTAGCTGGCACATTCCAGCTTCCATTGCATGTGATAATAATGTGCGTTTTGCAGATTAAATCCAGTGGCCGTTACGTTATTGAGAACAGAGGATTGCTGATTCGGAATGTGTCAGAAAGTGACGACGGTTTGTACACATGCCGTGCAGCAGTGATATCAACTGGTGAATTGGCCAAAAGAGTCATTCGCGTAGAGGTTCAAATCAAGCCAGAAGTACAAAAGTTACCAATGGTACTAAACGCCGTTGAGGGACAATCGTTCTCCTATATGTGTAATGCCACTGGCAAACCAGTACCTGAATTCCAGTGGATTAAGAAAAGCACGCAGCAAAATGTTGCTGATATTGATAGGTTCGTGGGAGGAATAATATTGTTTTTATTTGTATTTTTTTTTATTTACTATGAATTCATTTTCAATTTAGGTTCTCAGTAAATGCATTGACTGGTCAGCTTGACATAAGCCGAGTAGAACAAGACGATCATGACACTTACACTTGTGTTGCAAAGAATGCCGCTGGCATTTCAGAATCTACCACCAAATTGAACGTCTTAATTCGTCCAAAGATCATCGAATTCATGAATATCACGGTACCTCAAGATGAAGAAGCCGTTCTTGCTTGCAAAGCATTCGGTAGACCCCCGCCAGAAATTACATTCCGGAGATATGGAACAACTGAGGAGTTCACCGTTGGACTGCAAGTCAGCGACGATCGCATCGTTCTAGATTTGGATACAAATACGGAACGGGGCGAAACAATTGGAAATTTAAGATTTTCCAAGCTTGATAAGACTGATGACGGTTTGTACGATTGCATAGCCAGAAATCCAGGAGATGTCGCGTACAAAGTTGGTCACATCACTGTCGAATATAAACCAAACTTCGACCACATGAAGGCGCTACCACCGGTATATACATGGGAACAGCGTCCAGCAAATCTAAGTTGCTTTGCACAAGCCATTCCCAATGCCACAATCGAATGGCGGTGGAATGATCGACGTATTTTAGATTTGTCCGACTTTAATATGAAAATTGAAGAGCAAGGTGTCCGAAGCGATCTGATCATTACTCCGCGAGAGCAGCGGTACTTCACCAGCTACAAGTGTGTTGCTACGAATCGCCTTGGACGCGAAGAGCACGTTATGGAGCTCCGTGAAGCACGCATTCCAGATGCAATTGTTCAGGCTAAACCACGATCGGTCAGTGCTACGTCCATGACATTCGATATTATTCCACCAGCAGTGCAAATGGGACTACCAATTACTGCCATATCGGTGCAATACAAGGAAGAATTCAATCCAGATTGGAACAATGCCATAAACCGAACATGGTCACCGGATAGTCCTTACATCGTGGAAGGCTTGAAACCTCAGACGTCGTTCAGTTTTCGTTTTGCCGCACGGAATGTAGTGGGACTTGGCCCGTGGTCTGCCTATATAGTGCATTCTACACCCAAACGATCCGAACCAGAAACACCGAAAACATTGCACGTTCCGATCCAAGAGGAGAATGAAGAAGACGATGCCATCGTGGCGTCACCGTACGCAGATCATTTCGAGCTGCGGTGGAACGTGCCGGTTGACAATGGCGAACCGATCAACTTCTATCGGGTGAAATACTGTCCGGTAAGTTAATTTAGTTTTGGAATATGCTATCATTTCATCAAGTTGATTTTTCAAGTCTCGAAACTTTAAGGCCTCCCTTGGCCCAGTCGGTAATGGCGCCGCTACAAAGCAAGACCATGCTGGAGGTGGCTGGGTTCAATTCCCAGTCCGGACTAGAATTTTTTCGGCTTGGAAATATTTTCTCGACTTCCCTGGGCATGATTGTACTGGCCACACAATTATACTAATGGAAAAATGGTACAGGCATCGATAGCTCTCAATTAATAACTGTTGAAGTGCATCATCTAGAACACTAAGTTGAGAGCACGCAATAAGCTAATATGCGATATCATCTTTTCCAAAATTTGCTGATTTTGGACTTGATGAAAGATCAGCAAACTTTCCAACAAAGTAATGCTGCTGAAACTTCCAGTAATTCAATTTTCTGTCAAATGACAAAATTATACTGAATCTTCAAGGCGCACCAGAAGAATAATTGACTGTGATTAACTGATTTTTCAGTAAATTTTTGGAAAATATTATTGAAACTACAACAGTAAATTAATTTTATTCTGTTTCCACTGATAGCATGGTTTAGTTGTATGTTACAAATTTTTTTATTTCTTTTCTTCAATATATAACACTATATAACTCTTCAATAAATACAATAAAAGTACTATACACTTGAAGACACATGTCATTAGTAACTACCGTTTATTGAAACGACCCTCTCGCTAGGGACCTTGCAATTTGGTGGCAGCTTTGGTGGTTTCAATTCGGTTCAGGCTGGCAGCAGCATGTCACGTGGATTAATTTCATTAAAACCTTCCATTTAGCGTTGCATTTCGCCAGTAGTTATTGACGTCATGATCTCGTCAAGCATAAGCTCGTAGCTTTCAAAGCCCTTCATACTACTTCTGCGTCCGCGGAGAAAATGGGGAAATGTCTTCCGAAACTGAGCGCGAAAGAGCCACTGGGCAATAACACCATTTGGTGAGATTAGGCAACTTCAAGAAGTGTTTGAAACTGCAATAATAATGAAGAATAATGAAACGGTGTTCCAAATAAAAAAAACTGCTTACCTTTGGATTTGTTCTGAGGTTGAATATTTTCGGAATCGTGGCATTGAAAAAAGCATCAATGACAATGATAAAATGTGTTGTCAAGCGTAGACAGGATTTGCGCGATATGTCATTTAAGTAGATAGAAAGTACAGCTTACTGATTATCAGCAAATTTTTTGACGCTTGTCTTTTTTACTGGATTTCAGCAATGCTTAAAATGCTAATACTAAATTCTAGCAAAAAATTGTTTTGCTGATCTCATTTCAGCAAACTTTTTACCTGAAACTGAAAATCGAAATTTGGTGTGTACAATATTTAATTCTATTCACTCTAACTAGTATGCGTTTTCCAAAAAATTTCCAATTCCTACACCTCTTTTTCCAAGTAAAATTTAAACATATTCTACACCTCTTTTTCTAAGTGAAAATCTCTTTAATAAAAGAGAGAAAAAAAAAGTTATTTCAGTTAAGTTTTTTAATTGTATTAGGTTTTGCAATGTTTAAGGGCTTCAGGCTCTTGTTTTTTTCTCGAGATACGGAAGATTTTCAATATTTCTTAATACAAGATCATGATAGTTACTTCAACTTCGATAATTTGCCATTTTTCTATGCTAAGTATCCAAGATATTTTATTGATGATCTTCAAAATTGGTTGAATTTAATGAATTTGACGGTTTTATTTTAAAATGAAAGAACAGAATGTGATCTAAAGAAAAGTAAATTTTATATATAATTTTATAGAAGGATTTCTTTTTCTGTTTTATACTAAATACAAATGAAAACTTCTTATTGGAATTTCGTTTCATTTTCTATTTATTGCGCATTTTACATCCAACTGGAGAAATAAGCGCCTTTTCATTTATTAAAAAGTGATGCAAGCAAAAAGTGCTCCGAAGACATCAAAACGATTTGACGGAAACGTGCACTTTTAACCCACTTTTTGCATTTTTGGAGCAGTCCAGCCTCCGATTCAATCAGCAATAGGTACACCGAAGTCTGTTTTTTTTTTTTAAATAACGCGGTTAATTTACAGCGATTTTTTAAATGATGATGTTAAAGAGCTACAAAATCCTAAGTGATTTACAAGGGAATGTACTAAGTGAAAAAAATTCAAATTTTAGCACTTTGGATAGGTTCAGTGGACATCTTTTGGGGCCATATAGAAGGTTATTGTCTTCGGTAAAGTTAATAAGGCCATCAACACCTACCAGTTGGGGGGCTATCAGTATCCGATTTATTTAGGAAATTTGAAAAAAAAATGACATGACAAGAAGAAGGGAAAATAATGAGGAACATTGAGAAGGCGTCAATAATTAAAGTAACAATAACACTCTAAAAAACAGCTCCATGGAAAGTACGCCAGTGAGACTAGAGCGGTAGTGGGGTGGAAATGCCAGTGTAGGTATGGAATTATGGAACTGCGTTTCATGGTATTCATGCATCTGGAAGAGTTTTTTTATAGTAATGCCAAACGTCCTTTATGCCAAATTATTTTATGTCAAATGACATTCTCGCACTTTTTATCTATGTGTCTGCGGAAACGACTTGCAGCAATTTATATGTGATCGTTTGGCTCTTTAAAAACTGTTTATTCACGTTCAAGAATAGTTTCTAATTATTTTTCAGTTACAGGGTTTTGCTACAACTGATTTTTTTTTATAATGTTGTAACGATAAATTGTCATATGATGTTGTAAACATGATTTGTAGTGACCCGCTCTCACGTCAAGGACAACTGTTCTTTAACGTACAACCAAACAAAATTTTAGTGGACAAATTGCAATGAAAACAATAAATCTAGATTATGGGAATGCTTCCTCGCAAACGAGTATTGTACTTTCGAATTTATTGATACGTAGAAAACGCTAAGCGTTCCCGATCAATTACAAAATCTTCATCCATACCTGGTGGCAATAACGCTCAGTAAGGTAAAATTTCAACATCACACCAGCATGGAATCAACACTCAAAAGCCATGAATATTCACATTTATCATTGATATATTCATATATGGTAGAATATTCAACAAAGTTCCTGATCTATCTATGCTGATATGGCAACTAGTACAAAAATACATATAATAAAAATACATGATATGGCAACTAGTACGAACAGCTTTTGGAAATGAATTCGGGGTAATGGCCATTCGGGGCAATGACTTTCGGGGTAGCGTACTATTCGGTGTAATGTCGTTTGGGGCAGTGTGCCATTCGGGGTAACGGCGTTCTGGGTAGTTTCATTCGGTGTAATGATGTAGAGTCAATCAGGGTTGCTTCCACTCACTAGCTATAAAAAATATTTTTCGGAATTATTCAATCATTAGATGGTGTAAAATATGTGTTTGACTCATAAAACCTGTCAATTTTGCTCTCAGAGCGTCACAATCAGCGATCTTATGATTCGTGAGCGTTCACTCAGAGTGAGCGCTCACGAGTCGAAAAATCGCTGATTGTGACGCACTGAATGCAATATTGACAGATTTTATGTGTCCAACATATACTTCATGACCTCTTCTTGTAACTTACAAGTACTAATTAGCATTATACTATTTCATGATTTCATAATTCCGAAAAACATGTTTTTATAGCAAGTGAGTGGAAGTAACCCTGGAGTCAATCTATCAGGTTGGAAATTTTCTCGGCTTCCCTGGGCTCAGAGTATCATTGTGCTTGCCACACATTATACGCATTACATGCATTTGTTGGCATTGAATGATCTCAATTAATGACTGTGAAGCTGCAATTAGAACGCCAAGTTGAAAGCCGGCAAAATGCGCGCTAAAGAAGCGTAAAAAACCTTGAAGAAGAAGACTTACATTATACCTTGAATATTACACTAAAAACCTTTAATATTTCTACAAGCCCGAAACGTTTTCATTTTCCATAGGACAAGATACCATAAATGAGGTCAGAGATCTAAAAAAAAAAAACTAGGAATGTCCCAGAGTTTGGCATTTGACGAAAACTTTTCGTGTCAGCAATTTATAAAATTTCTCCATTCCTGGGATATTGAATTCACGTCCACAAAGGATTTTTATCACATTTCTCGTTTCATAGTGTTAAACAGTTTTATCATCATAATTATTTAGAGAATACTTTGTAGTGTCAGCCTCTTTAAACTTATCCATGTTCAAGAACCATGTTTATGTTCTAATCTGTGTGATTTAAATGCGCAATAATTAAAGTAAAATTTCTCGCAAAGTTCAAGAAAGTGCGAAAAACATAATCTTAATAATTTTTCCATGTAATCTTCGAACAAAATGGTAGTCCGAGAATTAAAAGGTTGGAAGTAAATTACAAAACTTAATCTATCAGTTTGGCCTAGTGTCCTTCCCATAATTTACATGTAATTTAGATACATTCCAAAGTTTTGAAACTTTTTAGATTATTTCAAATTCCAGTTTTCAAAAAGTTATCTAAATTATGTAGCAAAATTTGACATTTTGTTGCGATCTTGAAACTCACTGAAATTCAGTGGGAGAAGAGGGTTTCCTGTGGATTTCTCTATTTATAATAAAATGCCTTATATATTTTTTTAGTTACAGCATTTGCTGAAATCAATCATGCGGTTTTCCTTTTTTAACATAAGCAATGTGTATGAAACCGGGAAAATATCTTGAACACCCATTTTCTAAATTCAGTGTCCACCCTGAAAATCATAAGTTTTACCCTCATGCATCTAAAACAATTCAGAAAATTGAATATCCTCCCACCATAAGAAAACCCCTTTTATTCCCTTTACGTTCATTGGCACCTTAGTATCCACCATATGCTTACATCAACTGCAATGTCAAATTCAATTATCTCTTGCATAATATTTGCCTTAAGACAAAGTGTGCATTGTTTTAAAACTAATTGATAAATTTCATAAATCAATCAAGTTTTCCATAGATCTGCAATTACTGATGAAAAATTAGTATTAAACAGGACTTTGAAAAGGTACTTTACAAAAATTGTTCAACTGATTTTTTTTTCTCTATAGTATAGTTAACATCTCAATTTGACTATTTTCTCCAATATATTTTGGAAACATTTTAGTAGTGAGATGTGGAGTGCAATGAAACAAAAAGTATTATTTTTAGTCACATCTTTCACTGATTGTTCTTATTTCGACAGGGTTCCAAGGTCAACGGCGTGTGGACCGAGCTGGAAGGTGCCTGCCTAGACGAGGACATCCCGACTGCGACGCACTACGAAATGCGTGACCTGCAGGCTGACACCTACTACCGGATAGAACTGATGGCGCACAACGCTATCGGTTACTCGCGACCTGCTCACCTGCTGCTCAAGACTGCCCGAGGTGAGTCCAACAAATCGTTAGGCAGTATATATAACGTTTACCCGGCTGGATTCGGCTATTCACCAGCTACCGCAGCTGGCAGCTTCGCATCCCGGCCTACGGATGTTTTACTGTTGTTTGTTTACTCTGTGTGTAGTTTTGTGTTCATTTATCGCTTCTAATATTCACAACCACTACCAGTATGATACGCGTGACTTAATCACAAATGTGTGAACAAGTAATGTAAGGCAGTCGAATCGATCAAAGAGCAACCAACCATGCTGCGCGCCGAATGTTCAAACTTTGTCGCTTCTGCTAGGATCGAGTGAAAGTTATGCTGCTAACTTTCCCGTCGAGCTTGTGTGAACATAAAATCTACCATGATGTCTGTCCTGTTGCTCAGTTTATGTTTTCTCTACATCTTTGGCTTGCTTTTGTCTAAATTATTTTCACTTTTCATCGCACTTTTTTCACAAATTTAGCTTTAAGCTTCCAAGCGACATTTTATTCGACGTGTAGGCGACCGAAAACGTATCGAGCATCACATTCGATTCAGATTAATTTGCCTGCTTTAAAAAAAAAAAATCAAGAATGTAGGAAGGAAGCAATCGTAGTGAAGTATTACCTCTCACGTACTAGATTTTTTGTGCATCTGAAGAAATTTATCTCCTTATTTTCTCATTAATCTGTCTTCGCGTTATTTATAAGTTTTACGTACGACGAATAGCTGCATAGATTATACGACACAGTTTTTTTTCCAACGATCCATCGAAGGCAAGAAAAAGTTCATTTTATCAGAATAGGTTTTAATTAGATTTTTCAATTTTGTGTTAGTTTAAGGTTTAACTTATCGTTGTATAAGAGTCAAGGATAGAGAGGAAACGTAACGTTAAGTAATTCTAAATGATAAACACGCCTCTACATTTCCAATTGGTGATACGTACAAGACAGCAATAAAAATTAACGTCGAATATTCTGACATCAACTACAACAAAAACTGGCGTCTGCTTATCAATGCTAATTTCGAATGTCTCGTCTTCTAATTGGAACATCCTTTTGAATCCATTCACAAACGACACAAATACTGCTTTTTTGATCTTGCATCGAAATCCTTTACACTGTTTGCCGCTTTAGTTTCTTTCTCGATGCCATTCTAGTTGTACGATTTGTGCTCATTTCCGGTCAAGGTTTTTTTTTATTTGTGGTCAACATAATCGTTTTCTGTCCATGCGGCCTCCCAAATTGATTCTTTCATTATTTATTTCGATGACGTTTTCATCTTGCGGTTTCTGTTTCCATATATTGTAGAAGAATGACAACAACCTCCATTGGTTCGTGTTTGTTGTGAAAAAAAAAGTAATCCGGTTCATCCTCGCTACGTGTTTCCGAAGCTGCTTTCTCAGTAGTATATCTGTATGTTTGATCTAGCTATCTCTCATGGCGTAGGCAATGACTAACTCTTGATCATATGTCACTTGTACCAGACACACTTGTCAGAAGCTAAAATTCTCAGAGCCATTCTACTAATATGCATACATTCCAGCTGTCGATTCGACTTGTAGCACCAAGAAGTGATGAGATGAGTGAGCACATTTTAATTGATTTTAATCAACCGGAAACGTCACAATTGATTGCTCTGAGCATAGTGCACCCCGTTGAAGCCGCTTTCGGAGAAATTAATTGCCTGTGGTTGGGCCACAAATAGTGCTGACTTCACAAATGCCATCATTGACATAGTTTCGGAATGCCATGCTTGCACGATGATATTGGCACTGGAATCAATGGAAAAGATAGCTTCTTCACACTTACCTATTCAAAGAAGTGATCTCTCTCAAAAAAGTGCTTCTCATCTCACTAAATTGACGACCGCCGATTTATGATTTATATCAAAAATTCAACTAATCTGCACCATCACTAATCGATATTCATCTTGTGATGAGAAACGATTTTCTTTTCAAAAATGTCGAATTTTTTTAACAAATAAATGGTAAAGCTCATCAATCATCCGGAATTAACCCTCAGTGCATTTAGGTACACACACATACACATAGGCGAAAATCGTTTAACAGAGTCCTTTTTTCCGCTCGATTCACTTACTCACCCCCTGCCGTGCTTCCGATTCCGCAGGCACGTGCACACAGCACACATAAAACGAACACTTTCATTCACTCTGTCTGTACCTCTGATTCGCGCAGTTTTTGTAGGAGGGAAAATTAGTTTCCCTTCCGGTTTTTAGTATTCGTCTCTTTTTTTCTCTTTCTCTCTTTATGTTCGCGACCCATCCATGCACTAACCCAAAATTAAAAGCGGTCCAGCCAACTTTTTTCTCCTATCTCTGCTCCATCACATAAGGCGCACAGCTTGGCTACACGTCCACGGTAATCAAATTGGTGATTTTTTTTTTGAAGGAACGAAGCTATGTTTGAATATAATCGTAAATAACTGTATTGCAGATAGTTTCAAAAACGCAGAAACCATCAAATTATTGTATTTATGCAGCGGACCTATACCTTATTGGTATTTTAAAATGGAAATATTTATCGTTCCCGTTCCGTTGATACACAAGTTATTAACTCTTTTTTGTTTTGCCAATCCAAATTCTAGAATTAAGGTGGGTCTTAAATTTTAAGAATAGATTTAGATTTGCAAATATCAGTCAAGATAGAAAAAAAAAACATTTTAGGTCGCTGTTTAAGATTATTGTAGTTCAACAACAATTAAAAATAATGAAGTATTTCACTGACATTCAACAATAATATTTAGAAATTCTTTATAAACTTGATCAGACAATAATTATACTATTTTGCCAAAATTAGGCACACTTTATTTATGTATGCTTAAATGTTTATTTTTATGAAAAATATTGATTTTGTGATATAATAACTTTACTGAACTAAGTTTATAAAGAATTTTAAGTCAATTCGATTCGATGCGTTATGAAATATTTATACTAAAGAGTTATAAGTCTTGGTGACGTCTTTCTGTTGATATTGATTAATGAATTTTCTAACTCCGAAGTCTGAACATAGCATTAGCTTTCATCGCTAAGGAGGATAATAGAAAAATGATGCCATTGAAGTCATCCATTCAATTTTTTTTTTAATGCCTTGGAACATCAAAGAAACATGCATTTGCTAAATATATGCACTTTTTTAACGAATTTGTATCCTCAACGTTATGCACTACATAATTAATGGTTGTTCGACAAAAGGTCGACTGAGAAAAGGTTGAGAGGTAAAAATCTGAAATACAAAAAGTAGAATAATCAAAAAGTCAAAATGATGAATGCTGTCGAATGAAACTTACAGGGACAAAAGTTCGAAATGTCAGAAACAAGTCGAATGTACAAAAGGACGAAAAGTACAAAAGCTCTAAACGGACAAAAAGTAAAAAGTAAAAAAAAAAATGGCTGAAATGGCCATAAACTAGGTCTGATGAAGACAAATCGCAGTCACCTTCAGATTGCTGCGATGGATTTCAAATTGACCAACAAAACAATTTAATGCGTGACTCTCTCGCAACGAAGGTAATTGTTGATATTTATTTTTTCGTGTTTCGATACATGCACTGCAAGTATGTGTTCAGAAAGAGAATTCAGCAGGAAAGATGCATTTAGATGAGCCTGAAATTGAAACTTTAGAGTAAAAGTTTCTCCTACAAAGTTGTTTCATACAGTTAAGCCCTCATTTAGGTGTCAATTATTATTAATTTTTTATTTGAAATTTCTCAGCAAAGTAGCCTAGAGATAAGTTTTAGAACTTTTGAAGTCGCAATTTTTGCAGTGCAGAACATGTCGATATATTTCGTCGATCAAGAGTTATTGTCGTTTTTTTTAATTAAAATTAGCCGCTATACAAAATATCTTTTGACGACATTTGAAAAGGCCCAAATTATTCTATTTTATATAAAACATTAGAGACATGTTATGTTTCTAACTTTTATGAAATCATTTTGATTTTGATCATTTCAAAACTTTTAATTGGAATACCCCCGTGAACCCCCTGAAAAACTTATCATGCATATTAATGGGGTTAATTTTTAATTTGCACTCCTTGTAATCCTATCAGCATTAGTAATAGATGTTCCTGGTAGCGTTATTTGTTGCTATGTTTAGATGTCCCATTTCGCTTTCCTTCAGCTGAATGACGTTTGAGCAATTTTTAGTTTGCACGGCGTGCATATTAGCGGGGTTCAAATTAAAAAGGGTTCAGATTAAAAACGGTCAGATTACCGGGGGTCCATGGTAACTTCTTTATTAACAGATAAACCGAAAATTTTAACAAAAAAATCGTGAATGAAATAAATTTCCTCAACATTTTTTGCTAGGATGCTTCTGTCAAAGGAAGTCCAAGCACCATCTGAACGGCGTGGTCTGAAACTAAAATAAGTATGTAAACATATATTCCTCATCCTCCTGAACAACATTGCCCAGCATACCAAACCTCAACAATGCATGGGTGGAGCGCTATGATTTTTGTACAACAAAAGTACCATTGTGCCCCAGTGTACTCCGGTAAAACGGAACATGATCAAGGGAGCTATTTGAAGTGAATTGTTGATTACAGTGTCTTCCAGTTTTTTTTTCAAATACGTGTTTTTTTATTCTCGGCTTTCTGTAAAATCCATCGAGTGCCAAATCCAACTTCTGCCGTTACTGGCTAATTCCAGTAATCGGTGTAAAATATTCCGAAAGGCACTGTAATTAAAAATAGGCTTTTCACTCAAAATTCAATACTTTTCAAATTGGTTCGAAAATCATTACGTCTCCACCAGACCCAGATCATAAGGTCAAAATGAACAACAGGTTGAAATACACAATGAGCAGCAGTTGATCAGAATGTGCTTGCATGCAGTCCACATCTTGCCATGTGAATCTATTTTTTTTATGAAGGATGTGTTATTGCTACTTATTGCTACAATTTTAACAGCACTTATCGCACTTATCAGTGCTAAATATTACCTACAAATTATGTACCTTGTTTTATTCTAATTCCTCTATGATCCTTTGGATTCTTATAGTT